TAATAATTTTTTATTTGTTATTGTACATGTAATATACATTCATACAATAAAGCAGGTTTAGAAATTGAAATTTTTTTAACACATTTTTATGACAGATGTTTTAAGTAACTAAAGTTTTCTTCTTTTTTTTTTTTTCCCCCCCTCCCCCTCTCTCCTCAATTTTTAAACAGTACAACAATAAATTATTTTTAGTTTATTTCCAACTGTAAATTCCTTCATTTTTTTTTTTTTCCTTTCACATTCTCAATTTTATTTTTTTTTTTTCGTTTTTCTTTATTACTCTGTTAAGAGTATCTGTACAATGTTGTACAATTTTTCATACCGATAATGTGGTTGAAAAAAAAAAAAGAAAAAAAATTAGAAATTGGTAAGTTAATGATAAGACTAAGAAAACTACAGAATTAATGTCTCTTACAATCTAAACTTGATGTTTTTTCTTTCTCATTTTCTTTTTTTTTTTTTTCAATCTACATTTTGGTAAGAAGTTAATGAAAAAAAAAAAACTGCAGTTTTCAATTTAATAAAACATTGTAAACTGTAACTTTCTGGGAATCTTTTTTTCTATTTTCTTTCGACAGTAAACAAGGCTTAAACATCGGGTAAAAGTGAGACCCAGCAAGAGTACTTTTTGAGAGTACTGCTTTGTCATTGAGCTGTTGAGAAGTTTTGATAAGGGTTACCTAAGATTTATAATACTATATTTGCCGACTTTCTTGCATCTTCTGCTGTATAGTTGTATTTGTCGGCAAAGAAAGGAGGAAACTTCTGGAGACCTGTATCAGATGACCAACAATATAGACGATACTTGTTCACCGTTTACTCAAACATGAAAGTAAAAGAAAAGCATAAAATTAAAAACGGTTATAATATGTCCTTTTTTTCTCGTTTTTTCTTCTTTTTTTTTTTTTTTCGTTAGCTGAAAGAGCACTGATAATGACAGCAAAAAGCATCACTCTTCTACGCATTCTCAATTCTAAATTTTTTATGCTATTTTCTACCACTAATCTTCCTATATATTTAATAGTGTTTATAATGTTAAAGAATTTTTAGTCTTTTTTTTTTTGCCACTCTACTCGCTTTCTTTTTAAAGTTACTCTGATTCAGTTTTTACACGTTTTATTCTTACTCATTGACAAATCTTCTAACATCTTGTAGGTTTAATTGATTTTTCAAACCAAAACTCATTGTTCACAATTTTATCCAATATATTACAACTTGTATTAAATCCGTCTTTTTTTTTTGGTTTTTTAAAGGTCAAAATTGGAGAAAAAGAATTCTGAAGATGTCACTAAATTGTTGCACTGCAGTTAGTCAGTTCACTGCTGCTGTTGTGTAGGCAGCGGTGGTATTACAAGGCAATGTCTTTAAAACGATGATAAAATTGTGCAAAAATTTTAACTATTTGTATAAGCACATAAATAATTAGAAAAAGTTTAGTTATTATAGTCTTCCAATTTAGACAAAATAAATATTTTCTCATATTCAAATCTTCTTTGCATAAGCTATATTCAAATAAGCAATTATGTAGATGAAACTTAGATGCGCTTATAAATCCAATATTTCTGACAAAGCTGATTGAGTGAATTTAATTTTAAAGTGAAAAAAAAAATGCTAGTAAATCAGCAAAAAAAAAAAAAAAGAGTAAATTTTCTTTATATTAAGAAAAAAACTATTAACTTTTGTCTTGAGATCATTATATGTTATAAAAAATTAGTTTTTAGGAAAAATAATCGCTCTCTTACGCAACATTATTTTGTGGCAAGAAAAGCTTGAACAGCTTAAAATTGTTAGTTGCCAAAAATTAATGTAATTTGAACAGAGCTTGATTAAAAAGAAAAGATTTCTATTTTTTGTATTATTGTTCAAAGATGAAATTGGTCTTGATTCATGACATTACATTTGTTCAGAAAAAAAAAAAAAACTTTTTTTTTTACAACCGTTTTAAAACTTACAGTTTAGACAGAAATCATTATATCTATCTGTTTCGAGGGATGGCATCCATTGTTAAAGAGAAAGAAACTGCAAAAGTATTAGAAGAAAAAAAGGGAAAATTGGCGCAATTTCAAGATGAAACCTCAAGGTTTCTTGAGAAAAATAAAAGGTAAGCCTGAATAAAGCTTTCTCAATTGACCAGTGATTTAGTTGTAGACAGAACTTGGAATAAATCTTTTTGCATTTTCAGTTGGCAACATTGCAAATCAATCTTTAACTAATAAAGTGTTTCCGGGCTTGAAAAGAGATCATAAAATTTTTCTATATGTGTTTTAAAAATTAGGAATTTCATCGTCATGCAGCTGTCTAGGAAATTCTTAGTGTTAAAGCTATTTCAATTACAGGTTTATCAGTATTGGTACTGGTGGATCACTCCTTGTTCTCTTTCACATCTATGCCGGTTTTGCAATTGCACATAGTTTTGAAACTGCAAAACCGCTTGTTATACTAACCTGTTTGGCCTATGCCGGCTTGGTGTATTTTTTTGTCATTAGAGGATTTTTGGCGAAACTTGAAGAACCATTGAAACCGGTTGCTGAAATTTCTGGACGCATATGGAACTGGGAACTCTTTGGCTGTGTTCCTCTTTTTAAGCTGTAAGTTATCGGTATGCTATCTCTCAGCAATAAAAAACCCTAATATCGTCCTATAATTTGCTATTTTCAAGCCTAAAAACCGTCATTAGTTTTTTAAGAACCGTATAATTTAGCAAAAAAAATACCACTTTGATTATTTTAGAATCGAAGACAGTTAGAATTTTTAATTCGAAAAAGCAAACTAAAACATTGGATTACCCACTTGTAAATGCTATAAATGAAAAAGCAAAACTTAATGAATTGATCGCTACAAGTCTAATTGATTGACATCAAAAGTCTCTGCTTCTTCACGTTAGAAAATGAATTTTTAGCTTAGCTGTAGCTGTATTGCTCGCCGCATTCCTTGTATGGATAATAATTGACTCTAAAGATTCGAGAATTCGTCTTCGTAGTGTTGCCGGTATGGCAATGTTTATCGTTTTAGCTGTTATATTCTCTGCAAATCCTGCCAGGGTACGTTCCTTGTACTTTGTTGTTAATTTATTCCATGAGTTTTTATCTCTAAAAATATTTTGGTTTCTATTGTGTCCTTATCAGATGTTCTTAACCGGTTAAGCGAAATGATCTTAAAAGCTGCAAATAAACGTTGCTACAGAAAAGGTCAACCTAATTAGTGTTCAGATAAAGTGGCGACCCGTTATCTGTGCGTTGATCTTGCAATTTTGTATTGGACTTGTGGTGTTAAAATGGCCTGCCGGTCATAACGCTTTCCAGTGGCTTAGTAACAAAGTATCATTATTACATATTTTCCCTTTTAAAGTTCTTCGTCCTCATTACTGGAGAAAAAATTTGTTTTTCTAGAGTATCGCTTACTTCTTGTCCTCTGCTACATAACTTTTTAAACAGTCTTAGGTGTACTTCAGCATAACGAAGGATTTTGGTGAACAGACAAGTAAAAGACAAATTTGCTCGTCACTTAATTAAACAGTTCTGGTCACAAACTTTCCACTTAAACCATCGTAGAAAATATGATAATTATTAAATCATTCCTCTAGAAGTGAGAAGACGGTGAGCAGCATAATCAAAAACATTAAGGCTCAAATCTAAGTTCTCCATTGATCGCCCATCAGAAATTCTTCAGGTTTTGACATTAACGTGAGAAAAAAAAAGTTAATAAGAATGTTACTTTATCTCAAATAGCTACACAATACTCTTGATAATAAAGTTGAAGTTTCCGATGAAAAAACTCTGATTAGAATTTCCAAAGAACGATTGCAATTTTGTGCCAAAAGCGCTTTAGCAAGCGTATATCGGCGCAGTTTCTGATAACGGAATCCTCACTTGTATTTCAAAACTCCCATTCAAAAAAAGACTAAGAATAAATGTTGTTGCATGTCTAAATCAACAGTAAAACCCATAAAAACACTTTTGCAGTACTGCAATTGAAAAAAGCTGCCAAAGTTTTTCACTGCACATCTAGGAATGTTGAAAACTATTACATGTTTCATATGCATCGCATTTAGAAAAAAGTTAAGGAAATTAGTCTATTCTTTTGCCAAAAAAAGTTATGCGATGTTTTTTTGTTCACTATTGGCAAAAAAAGTAGTTCTTATTTTGTACTGCATGCATAATCTCTTTTATTTTCCAAAGCTACTATTAACAGATAGTTCGATTCCTGGACTACACCGTCAATGGAACTACTTTCACGTACGGTTTTGTTGCTGCGCCGCCAAACATCTGTGGCTTTGGCAGTGTCTTCATATACACAGTAAGTCTACGATGTAAAGCTTTTAGGTTGAAATCCTATAAACAGAAGATAAAATTAAAACTACCTGAAGATGCTTCATACTGTTTTGCTAGCAATATACCTGACAAATTTGCCTTTGCAACAGTCTAAAATATGGCTTAAATTTTGACTGTTAATAATATTACAGAGTCTACAAATTATCATTTATTTCGGTGCAATAGTAAGCGTTCTGTATTATTTGGGAATTATCGAATTTGTGCTTTCAAGAGTTGCTTGGTTAATGCAGTACACTGTTGGAACTACGGCAGCCGAAAGTCTAAATGCCGCAGCCTGCATCTTCCTAGGTCAGGTTGGTAAAACAGTTAGTCTCTGTATCAACAAGCATAACCAAACTTTTGAAGTACACTTTTTGAGCCAAAAGTTACTCAGATTTTGATATGCTAATCATTACAATGGCAAAATTTTGATTCTATCTTTCTGCAGTACGAGTTATTCAGACTGAAGCAGCAATTTTAATCGAACCGGCACTTAAAACGATGACTGAAAGTGAGATTCACTCAGTGATGACAGCTGGGTTTGCTTGTATTGCTGGATCCTTGTTTTCAGCCTACATTTCTTTTGGTGTAAGCGATTTGTTTATTGCAGACAATGATTTCATTATCAATATAAAAAAATTTCAAAAAATGGAGTTACAAAACTTCAAAAAAAACTAATTTTCCTAACAAAACTTTCCCCTCTACTTTCGTATTTTGAAAAGAGAAACCGTAAGAAATGCTCCTAAAAATTTATCCCTAAAAGTAACTTTTTTTATAGGCTTGTCCTTCATACTTGCTATCAGCGACAGTGATGTCAGCAGCAGTATCATTATCTATCTCAAAAATTATTTATCCAGAAATACAAGAATCTCGTCAGAAGTCTATTGGTTCTTTTAAATTCAAAGATCGGTAAGCGATGTTTGCTGTTAAAGTCGAGTAAAACAACAGTTAAAAAGGCAAAGATTTAATTTGAAACAAAAGAGAGAAAATGAATGAAAATTCAAACAAATTTACGCTTTTTTATGTTTTAGTGGTGCGAACAATATCCTTGAATGTATTAGCAACGGCGCCTGTCATTCTTCGAAATTCGTATGGGCTATTGGAGCAAACTTGGTTGTATATTTGGCATTACTAGCGTTGTTGAACAAAGCCACCTGGTGGCTTGGTGACACTGTGGGAATTAAAGATCTTTCATTCAATGTAGGTTTTAAAATTTTAGTCAGGCGCTTTTGATCGGTTTCTTATACAGTTGTTTCTGCTAAGCATTATTTATGCAGAGTTTCATTAAATACCTGGAGAAATAATAATTTAAAAAATTTTTCAAAGTACTTTGCAGAGACTTCTGGGCTACTGTTTCTTCCCGTTAGCATATATGATGGGGGCTTCAGATGCTTCTGACTCGCACGTAAGTTAAAGCTCAGCTATTAAAATCTAAATTTTACTTGAGATCCAAGTTCAATTTTTTATGACTACCGCAATCGATAAGAATTAAGACTGTACTTTTTAATGCAAAAAAAATTTTTTTTAGACCGCAGTAGATGAAACTTTGAAAGTGGCCGAATTGATGGGAATGAAGACAGTACTTAATGAATTTATAGCATACCAACGTTTGTATGAATATATGCATGATGGTACACTAAAAGGGGTGTGTTTTTAGCAGTTCATAATTCTTTTTTTTTTATCTAGACGAGTGTTTAAGACAAGATGAGATCGACGGGTGTCAGCGAATCTTAACTGCCCTAAAATTGCTTGTAGTGCCGAAGAATATTGTAAAAAAGACGCTTTAAAAGGGCCACAGTTTACCTCAGTAGTGCAAAACAGAATAGAATTTTTGTTTTTAGATATATTTTAAAAAAATGCAAAAGGTTGTTGTTGCCAATGTTCACATTACAATCCAATCGGTAGCTTGAAAGTCCAAAATCATCTCTTCTGCTGCTTTCTAATTCTGAAGAAGAAAGTTCTGGTTCGGTTATATGGCTATATAGAAAAAAACTGTAAGAAACTGTTGTTACACAACAACAGGGAATTATAGTTTTTCAAAAAAGCCAACCTTAAAAAGCTCTTGATAGAGTTCAACTTTGAAAGAGGTCCAGTACAATCAAGATCCTGGTAATTTAAGTGAAACCGCCAAAGAATTGCTGTTGACGTCGGAAGCCTCTCGAAGCAGGTCATTAACAGGTCACGCAAGTGTTTGATTGGCTTACTTGTAGACGAAGATTAGTCTCACTAGGCAGTGCTGGATATCACAAAAGATTAAAGTGAGAAAACGGAATGCTGTTGAAGACGACATCCCGAAGCATCTTACGACAAGGCTATTTAGTGCTTGTAAACCGTCTCTGACTAAAATAAACCAAAAAGTATCGCAGTACTACGAAGCTTTGCGACAAACCGTTTGCAATTCAGTAGTAGATGCAGAAAGCCCAATATCTCGATATGCTTTATTTAACAAATAAACTTTAAATCTAATTTGAAGAAATGCAAAAATTGGGTCAGTATCCTCAGATTTGTTTTACCATGAAAGTTTTCCAGATTTTTGCTTGTTCCGGTTTCCTTTGGCAAAGTTCTGCCCAAATACGCATTGTTCTATTGCAGTACCTGCTCTGATACCAAAAATACCAAGCAAACTTTTGTTTTCTTCTTTTTGATGAATTCCATGACAGGGAATACAAAAAATAAAAAGTTGCAATAACAGTATAACACTGACAATGGTGTGTAGATAACTAGGCAAAAAAAATTAACTAACCTTATGTAGTTAAGAAAATATTTCTGAGTTATCAATCATATTGAAATAATTGCATAAGTAAAATTTCAGAAAAGAGCGCAAATGATCGCTACTTACGCCCTTTGTGGGTTTTCAAATATTTCAATGATTGGGTCACAAATGGGTAAGTCTTCAGCATATGTAAAATTTAAGCATAACAAAAGCATTGCAAAAGTTTGAGAGTCGTAAAAAAATTTTGGATGTAATTATATTGCCGAAACTTAGACTTGTTATTCAAATAACTAGATTTCTTTATGATGAGCAAGAAACGGCTGCTTAGAAAAAGCAGTCAGTTTTGTTAACCTAAGAAATAACACAGAGTTCAAATTATGTACAGTAAAATAATTCAGGAATTCTGACTTCGATGTGCCCGCACAGGAAGTCAATTTTCGCCAAAGTGGTAGTACGAGCCTTAGTTGCTGGATGCATTTCTTGTTTCATGACTGCTTGCGTTGCTGGTTTGTTGTTCATTAGTCACTACTAAACATTATTTCTCCACTGTTGGTCGCCTATCATCAGAAAAACCTCTGAATTTTAAGATAAACGTAATGTACAGAAAACATAAGACTTGGTGGCCCACAGATGTCACCAAAACTGCATAACGTCTTTGGTTCAGGCATTCTGTCACCTAACGCTACTTCTTTTATAAGTAACTAACAAATTTTCCAAATATTTATTGATGATACGTGGTAATATTACAGTTTCTTGGCAATACAGTATCCTGTGTTCTAATTAAATCTCCTCATTAGAAGCGACATAAATTAACCCAAATTGCACTGAGTAGTAAAAATACCTACAAATTTATTGATAGTTGTGGAATAATTTACCCAAGTTAGTGTAAATGGAAGGTTAGACTGATTATCAAGCAGTATAATGAGAATTTTGGAGTAGGCGTACAAAAATCTGAATGTTCATTACGGCCTAAAATTCGATAAATTTATCTACTTTTCTCAGTAATCATCTTTGTTGTTCGTTTAGTAATCTTTAAACAAAAACACCTTTTTTTCTTTAATTTTAAATGCATTTGAGTGTAACAGTATACCTCTGCAATCAAACGTGCTTAATTTTCAATGCTATTCAGGTATCTTGGTGACAGATCCACAGTCCTGTGAAAGTACAATAAACGGCAACTGCTTTAATTTAACTCGCGTGCAGGATTTCTTTAGTGGGATGCAACAAGGAAGTACAACAGTCATCCTCAATTAAACTGCATTGATCTCGTTCTGTAATATCTTGTCTTTCTAAAATTATTGGTCTCATGAGTGTCACTTGCACAATTTCAATATAATGAGACTTGAATAACCTTATGAGATCCTCAATATTGGCTTTTAGATTGTTCTTAAGAACTGAAAACGAGTGAAAACCGTAACACTGGCAGCAAAAGAAATGAATACTTAAATTTAATCTTTTTTTACAGCAGTAAACATATAGCAGCTTATTAAAAGAATCTATAAACTCTTTCTTATAAGCAATTAATAGACCTCTCTTTTTTCTTCATTTTATTCCCATTCCTGACCGTTTTTACATATTTTTACTTAAAATTTTTTGATTACTTGTATATTCGTTCTTATCACCTCATTTTTTCTTACATCTATATAAAAAAAGTAGTTAGAAAAAAGTAAAGAAATGTCTTCACTAAATACTTATTCTAAAAAGTATACCTCATGACTGCTTCCTCATATTGCTGCCGTTAGATACACAGCCTTACTTTAGTGCTTTTAACTACTTTTAGAGTGCCTAAAGAGCAAATAGGTACCAAATGCGTTGCATAGTTTGATAAGAGTTGGTTTTGCAAAACCAGTTCGTCTTGATTAGTGCTGTGAGAACCAAAGCCTTATAATAAAAACGTAAACTTCAACAGCTGCGAAACAATCAGGGCTGGAGTGAGTTGCTGTATAGTAAGATTCTAACCGAGATAATCTTCTAAATCATAATTTTTTTGTTGTAAATGAATTGTACTATACAAATTAAACACTTTCCTACAATAAGTTTATTTTATAATGATTGAAAAGGAGAAACTGGATGTCAAAAAGTTGTGCTGTATTCAAATTCCTTTCCTCTACAAACTAAATTTTCATTATTACATTAAGTGGTTACCGCTACGTGCCGTAACCAACCAATACTTTTATTGTTTTACTCCTGTACCGGTCAAGCCTGTACAGAGATTTTTTTTGTCATTAAATGTTCACTGTGACCATTCCTCGTGCTATTTTGGGTATTAAAAGTCATTTTTTTCACTTGTCTGTCCATCCACAAAGTTCAAGAGTAAAAAGTGAAATTTAAAGAGTTGATGGCTCATAAGAGAGGAGTAAATGTAAAAATATTTCTACAAAAATGTAATTTTTTAAACTGAGCACGATTTATAAATGTAACATTTATAATTTTACAGTGTTCCTTCAAAACCGTAGAATGCTGTAAATACTATAGTACAATCAAATATTATAAGTGTTGTCTTCTTACACGTTTTCCAAGAATCTTTTTTTTCCATTCAAAGCAAAAATTGCGGAAACTACAAAAATCTCCTTCACACAAATGGCCAAATTACTGTTTCAGCTGCAGTTATTTACACTTTTATTGAACAGTAAAAAAATAAGAGTACTGAAGTCTTAACAACTCTACTAGACTTCAATTACCAGCTTTTACGTACTCGACAAGAAATGAAAACGAATAAAAGATAAGGATAACAAAAACACTTCAGTCAAAGAGAGTATAGAAGAATGAAATCTTTATAAAGTAGAAAGAAAAATGTGTATTATATTTGCTTTGGCATAATGTTTTTGATAAGGAGATTCACTTAAATGCGAAAGTTTTTTTGTTAGATGCTAAAAATTATTGAAACTTGAACGCTGCTGCTATCTGAAAGATATTTTAGAATAGTGGCTA